TAATACAGGTCTCCCTTTTTTGATCTCCTTTTAAAATACATAGAAAACCCAGATAAAGTTCAGATGCAGTCTGTAAAAATGGCTCAGGATCTAAACATTAGAACAAAGTACATATATCTTTTGGAAGCAGGATACTTTCTTTCCTGTCTTTCCTAATTATGCACATTAGAAAGACAACACCTGCCTTGCTAAATTCTGGAACCGCAAAGTTTTGGATTCAGTAACAAGCAAAGACTTTTTGTAGTTTAATTTGATTTTTTAGTTTGTTTCAAACCACACAACCTTCTCACTAACACAGGGTCAGTGGAATACTACTATCATTTATCCTTATACAGGTAAATTTTAGCTGTTCTTTCAGATACAATGCTTAGTTTATACAGGTGTCACCGGTTTTATGGCCAAACCTACCCGCAGCAATCAGAAAATATAATACATAAACAAAAGCACCTGAAGTTGAGTTCCTTGAAGCTGGTCTACAGGCAAGTTAGGGAAGTTACTGAAAAGGCTTTAGCAATCCCTAATCTAAGCCTAATCGCGTGTGAGAGCACTGAAGCTCAAGGCCTCACACAGGGAGACCTTGTGTTCATCTCAAGATCACGAGATGTAACTGAAACAGAACGCAGATGAAGCAGGTAACAAAATAATAAATCAGAAGGTGATAAACGCTGGGAAGGAACAGGAGGACAGAGAACTGCCATCTTTGGCGGTCAGCATCACAAGATGAACCAAGTTTCTCTCTCTAATGTCCTTTGACACACACAATTTTGGGCTCCTTCAAATCTATACTCGTAACTTCAGTCTGGTTATTCTGTCCCTAAAGATGTCTTGTGTTTACTACACTTCTGCTCTTTCCACTGTACCACTTTGCCTTTTCCTTCTTTCCTTTCTTCCTTCCTGACTTCCTTTTTCTAAGTGAGATGCCTAATGAAGCCTATATTGCTTGGAATAAACTTGTGATTTGCAAATGCAATAGCTAAGAAATACAAAACAATGTCCCCTATGATCAGTGACCTACTTTCTATTCCCTAACCCAGCGAAAAAACCCTCCTGCTTCAGGGCTTATGTATTTTCAGCTTCCTCCATTTATGATTACCAGACTGTCACACCCCTCACTCCCTTCAGACAGCTCACGATATCAGAAAGGCCCTCCTAACCACTCTCTATAAAATGGCGGTTCTCTATCCTCCTTACTCTTTCCCAGTATGTATCATCTCCTGATGTATTATCTTGTTATCTACTTCATCCATGTTGTTTCAATTATATAGAATATATGTTCTACATGGTTCAGATACTGTAACTGCTGTAACCCTGGCTGTAAAAGACAGGACCTGACAAAATAAGCATTCGATAATACTTGTTATAATCCCAGCACTCAGGAGGCTGAGGCAGGAGGATTGCTGTTAAGTTGAAGGTCAGCCTGGGATATACAGTAAGTTCAAGGTCAGTCTAAACTGTACAGTGAGGACTCCCTGTCTCAAAAACAAAACAAAAACAACTTGTTAAACCATTACACTCAGCTCAATACTACTCTTTCTTTCTCCCTCTCTTTCTCATACTCATGGGAATATTAAAGCCATAAAAAAGGAAGATCTGTCATTTCCAACAATGTGGATGAACCTGGACGACATTATGTTTAAGTGAAATATGCCAGACTGCTGGGTGTGGTGGCGCACGCCTGTAATTCCAGCACTCAGGAGGCTGAGGCAGGAGGATTGTTGCGAGTTTGAGGCCAGCCTGGGCTACAAAATAAGTTCAAGACCAGCCTGAACAGCATAGTGAGACCCTGAAAGAAAGGAAGGGAGGAAGGGAGGAAGGGAGGAAGGGAGGAAGGATGGATCCCAGGTACAGAGACAATTACTACATCATCTCACTCACATGGCGAAGCTAAAAGGGTTGATCTCTCAGAAGCAGAGTAGAGGCTGGAGTGGTTAGGAGCGAGGGAGAGTGGATAAATGTTGGTCAATGTTAGATGTACTAGATACATAATCACAGTTACATGTCCTACATGAAAACTTAGTCCACCTTCTAACTTGTGTGAGGGTTTCACCTCTGCTGTGACTAGAACAGAGCCAGATCTGAAGAGAAGAGTCATGAAAAAGGGTTCCGGATTTAGGGCACAGACGAAGGTGCAGGCTAGCACGAGCCTCTTTTTGGTGGCACAGTCTGCTCTTCCCCTCACGCCCAGCCTCAAGCGTTGCCCTGCGTGTATCCCATTCCACTTCCTGCTGCTTTCAGCTGTGACTTCCTGCCTTCTGCCTAAGTGCCCATCACCGTGCTGCCTGAAGGACACAGGCCTTTTGGGCAGTTTCTCTACTACCACTCACCGAAATGTACCAAATGTAAACAGGCTTCTTCCCAAATCAAAGCAGGTGGCTTGGAACAAGTCACAGTTGTCATTGTCAAAAAAGAGCTAGAGAAATTAACAAATCATGTATGTAAAAGATTTTACAAAAAAGATAGATACTAGCATTAATAACTAAAATATAGGAAAATGTGCTGTGAAGGTACCATACACATTAAATACCAAATTTCAAAAATAGATTTATAACCTACAACACATGAAGACCCTCTGTCTAGAGCTTGTCTTTTCATCTTTCTCTATTTGAGTGCAAAGGTTTTACTGACACATTTTTAAAAATTTGTTTTGTTCTATGTGCCAGGCACTGTGTTAAAATACTTTACTACTCTCTAATTTTTATAAAAATCTCTTTGAAGGCTTATTATCTCAATTATACACAAGAAAACAAAAGCTCAGGAAGGTAAAATAACCTGTCCAAGGTCACTATAGCTAATTCAATGATGAAATCAGTCTCTGGATTCCAAAATTCAAATGTTTAAACATCTCTATTATGTTGATTGCTATACATCTCTACATGTCGGTTAAATGTGAAAGCCAACACAAAGTGCAATTATGCAAAACCACATTCCTACATCCCTGTTCTTTTCCACCTATCTACTTCACAAAATTTTCTTCTTTCAGCAGATGTCGCTTACCTAGTTGTTCAATCTTCCATATCCTACCTATCCTAGTACAATCTAGAATCCATCTATTTCTTTCAATGGCCTCTGCCTTCATCACTGTCAGGCCTGAATTATATAACACATTGAAAAGAGCTCTGGCGGGCACACTCCAATGATAGAGACTGTTCTCCAGACAGGATGCAGTAATTATACCAGCAAAGGTACAGACTCACATTTCAAAGCAAGCAACGTCTGACATTAATTTTCAACATCTGGGACAATGTCTTTAAGGTAAAATTCCTGTAACAGAATCAAACTTATTTTTCTTTATTCTTTCTCAGCTTTTCATTCCATCCTTCTTGGCAGGCACTGGCTAATCACTGTTTAGTGATTCCTCTACAGCAAAATCCTCCCCTTTTCAAATGCCTTACTTGCTCACTTGATTTTGAAAATTGTGTCATCAACATAAACCACTCTCATGTATCAATCTTAATTTCCTTTTTCCCTCCAAAGAACACATGAAACACAAGTAAAAGGCAAACAGTCCTTTCTCATTTACATTAATCTTATATTTGAGCTCTTTAGCAAAACATTTAATAGCAATACAGATTTATAGTTTCTGTTTTTTCTATTTTTGAAGTATTTTCATGTGTATTAGTTCATCCTTCTAGCAGACATGTGAGGTAAGATGTACAGTTGTTATTTTCAGACTGAAAAACTCAGGGACACTGTCATTAGGCCTAGCAGTACACAGAAGAGCCAGGGCCAAACACTAGTCAGAGCAACACTACCCTGCTCTTTTTGCCATACAGCCCTGTGATATAATCACCATTTAAAGAAAAAATGTTCAATACATAATGTAATAAGAATGTCTTTGTAGATAAAATTTCATTTTCCTTGAAGTAGCTAAATTATTAATCTAATACAATTTGTTAGTTTAATAACTCATATAGTAACTATAATGCAGGGAGAAAGTTAAAGCCTAATAGAGAAGAACGCCACCAAAATTGAACCTCTTTTACAATTTCTATGTACAAACAAATGATCCAAAGACAACAAAAAATAAGTACTTCTCTTCTTACTGGAACCAAAGGAAGCAAAAATCCACAGAAATGAAGTTAAATGTCTAACAAATATTTTAACCACAATTTAGCTGGCTGATAGCCCAGAAAATGAAGATAATTCTGACATATACAAATGACCTGTGAAAAGCACACACAGAACAGACATGCTTCCACTTGGAACAGCACGCTTCAATTAAACCTGCAGGCACTCTAAGGGGAATGTAAAACTGACTATGAAATTTACCTACTTGGCCGTTAAATTAAATATACATTTACAAAAAGTCTGCTCTCCTTTTTTGTCAGAACAAGCCAACAACAGCAAGTAGCCAGCAATTATAATTAATATAAAAGAAAAATTTAAGAGGAAATGGTTGCTAGACTCATCATATTTTCAGTCTTGTGTCAGGATTTGAGCGATTATTTGCAATGAAGCTGACAAGACAGGAAATCAAGTTAAAATTTACTCATCTTTTAAATGGTTTTTCTAAGTATAACTTTTTTTAAAGGGAGAAAACATTTTATTCTTTTGTGTAAAGCCACATTTATTTTTACTGATCAACTTGAATCTTCACAGCTGACAGAAATAAGACAGATTTCTTTAAAAAGCACTTGGATTCACTAGTTCCAATTACCATGACATTTCCTTTTTAAAGAGGAAAGTCAGATAGTAAAAGAAATGAAAAGCCAGATAAAAGAGTCAAGAAACATTAATTTAGAAGGCAACCAACTATGTGGCTTATTCTTACCTTGGCTGTTTTTTTCACAGGTTGACATTTTTGCTTGTGGAGACAAAAATGACGTATCTTACCAAAAAATCGAGCATTTTCTTAAGGAACTACAGAAACATGTCTCTTTTACTACCATGGGCTAATAAAATATACTCATTGAAAATAAGATGACATTCTTATCAGTTTAAAAAAATTACAACTGATGTACAAAAGCAAAATGAGTATTTTTAAAAGATATTTAATTTACCTTGGTTGATGATGACATCTTTATGCCTAAAAAGGAATTCAAAGAATATATTTATTTTATAATTTTATACAGGTGAACGTTAGAGTCATCTGAAGAAAGTGCAAAACTCTGATGCCTTGCCCACACCCTAGATAAATTTAGAAATGAAATTCAGCTATTAGTATTTTATAATTTCTCATTCTATCAACCACTAATGTACACTGTTTGGAAAATAATGAACGGCCTACAGGATCACTTGAACAAGTGAAAGCATAAAAAGAACATAAGAGAAGTACCCAAATCTTACAGTATTATTGAGATTTATGGTACGGACATTTATAATTTGAGTTGGGAAGCATTAACAGGAAGACACAATTTTTCTGAGAAGACTTTAGAAGAAAAAAATTACATAAACTATAGATTTTAAAATTCAAAGCAGACATAAATTGTACATATAAATATAACAGAACTATTAATTTTCATATATAATAAAGTATTACTTACTTGTCTGTATTTTTTGAAACTTTTGATATTAATTTTGACGTTGAAGGTGTTTTCAATAATTTATTACGACTATCATCTGGATTTTCCCATGAATTATGTAACTTTTCAGCTGTTGGTGGTCTTTTTATGCTAGGAAAAACATATTCATTTCTTAGAGAAAAATTCTGAGTAGTACCAGTGACATGTAAGTGACTGTTTAAATAGAACACAAAAGCAGCAATTAACACTTTCTTAAAGCTAATCCAGAAAAGAAAGGAAAGGATTAGTTGAAAGGTTTTGCCTGGATGAGTAAAGGAGTTAAACAAGGCAATGACCAACTCTGCATTTTTTTTTTTTACGAGTAGGACAATTTATTGAAGAAAAGGAATGGGGAACAGAAATAGTTCCTGAGAGACAGGAGGGGTCCCAAATGGGTTGCCCCCAAGTGTGTTTTATAATTTTCAGTATTACTCTGAAGAGGCACTAGAACAAATACTATCTGATTAAAAGGAATCTATACCAATTTTTGCTGTTATCAGGAAAAAAACCTACTTGCTTACATCTCAGAATATTTCTCTTTTGCTAGTACTGGGGACTGAATCCAGGGCCTCTGCACTGAGATGCATTTGCTGCCCCTTTTTATTTTAAGACAGGGTCTTACTAAATTGTCCAGCTAGGTTGCACCTGCCTGCAGCTTCCTAGAGTGCTGGGATTACCGGAATAAGCCACCACTCGAGGCTACTCTCATAACTAATAGTTAACAAAAATCAGAACTTTTTCATAATCATTGACTTCCAAGGCTGCAACTTTCATTTCTTATGTAATTATGTCCTAATGTAATTAAATTTATGGGGTACAAATGACAATTCCTAAATGGTGAGACTAAAAATGAAACTCGTTTGTATCTTTACAGACAACTATCCATGGTCTAAAATAAGACCTGACACACAAAAATATGTAGTATTACCAATGCTGATTCGCTATATTTGTAATACAAAGTTTTTTATTTATAAATGACTTTTTGGTTGCATTGTTAACTATCCTAAAACTCATCCGTTCTTTAATACTTCTTGCAATAGTACATAAAAAGAGCAGTTTAGAAAGGTAAGCATATTTCCAGGAGACCGCAAGAAGCTGAAAAAAAAGATTCTGGAATGAAGAAGATGCCAAGTCAAATCAGAACCTTAAAGAGATTGATTATAAAAAAGCCACCTTTAATCACACACACTCTGAAGCTGCATAACAATAATTTACATTCAAGAAAAATTCCACAAGAGACCAGGCAGAAGAATTAAAAACCACTTAGCATAAAATCTGTCTGATACACAGACAAAGCATTTTGTAAATGGTAAACATGCATCAATCAAGTGAAGAGTATTCTGGTTTTCCAAATTTCCATTACAGACTTGACACAAAATATTAAACTGGTCAAATAAAAGTGCATTATAATCTTTTAGGAACGGCTGTCATTTAAAATCATAGCTGTTCGGGAATGGTTTAATAGTTTCCTAAGATTTCTAAGCAGAACTATAATGATAACATATATATCTCACAATAAAACTTGAATAATATTTCTACAAACAAGCAAATTTAATTAAGTTGGTCTCAATATTTTATTACAAGGTAGCTGTAGCAGTGAACTCCCAGCATGCAGGTTTAGATCCTCCATTTAGGCTCACACACACTGTTAGAATGTGTTCCCTTCTCCCCCTCTTATAACTTAAAAATATTATTATGGACACAGAAGCCCTCAAGCAAGCCTTAGCATAGAAAAGACCAGGTGAAATGGATTCATTTCTCTAATCAAGCAAGAACTTATCCGCCCAAGACCCAAAACTGAAACTGAGATGCAGCCACAACAAAGAGCTATTTGTTGAGAAGGGCCCTTGCAAGTTGAAGGTTGTAATGATGCCAAAATGTGGTGAGGATAACTACGTATGGCCATTTTCTATCCATGGCTGTAAGTTTACACAGAACCATGTATAAATTAAAAAGTATTCTGTACTTTTATGAAAATATTGTTTTCATTTTAAAGTAGGCTATTTGTGCCTTTCACCAGACTGTTTATAACTTAGTTTCTTTTTCTTTTTTTGTCTTTTTGAGACAGGATTTCACTATGCAGTTCAGGTTAGCCTTGAACTCACAGTGATCCTCCTGCCTCAGCCTCCCCATGTGCCAGGATTACAGGGGTGTGCCATGTCTGATTTTCTTTGTCAGTTTTAACTAAGAAATTTTGACCATAAATTTTTATTCTACAATGTGTATGTGTTTTGTTTTGTTTTGTTTTTTTTTTTTTGGTCTTTTTGAGACAGGGTCTTGCTATGCAGTTCAGGCTAGCCTTGAACTCAGTTTGTAGCCCAGGCTGGTCTTGAACTTGTAACAATCCTCCTGCCTCAGCCTCCCTAGTGCTGGGATTACAGGCGTGTGCCACCATGCCCGGCTCCACAATGTGTTAAAATACAAATTACAGCAACAACGTAGGAAAAAAAAAGCCATCAGGCTTTTCTCTTGGAATCCATGGATGGCCAACATTTTCCCAAGTCACAGAATTTAGGTATCTTTACAACCTTTCCCTAGCTCTGTACTGGGGACAGTTAAAACCTTTTAGTGGGAGCAGAGTTCTTGCTTTCTGGAGTTTGTCTGTGTATTTGGAGAGGTTGTGAAGAGGGCTGGGGAGAAGGTGATGCTCGAGTTTGTGGACTGTGATCATTAGAATGAGATTCCTCTTTTTTTTCTCTCTGTCCTTGTGGTTTTTCTTTCTTTTTTTCTGTACCACTGTAAAATAAAGTATAACATGGAACAACACATATTTAAACAAATGAAAAAAAAATCAAATGATAAAAAGTGATTATTATATAATTCAAACCCTTAAATCATACAGCTAGTATGGTTTTTACTGCTTTTATCCAATAAGGAAAAATATGTCTTTGAAAATTCTGGAAGCTATTAAAATCTTCAGTGAAGACTGAAATTACCTCTAATGAATTTTTCCATCTTAGCAAATTTTAGAGAAGCTCGCTTATCTGACCTCCAGTTACTCAAGTCAGAGGACTAGTGACACCACCCATTACCTGTGGAAGCTGACGGACGCCCGAAATACACTAATGCTCAGTGTCTGACAGATGATTCCCTAATTCCTCTGTGTATTTCTGCTCCCACAGTTTTTTCCTCACTTTTATGCCACTGGGGATCTAACTTAGGGCCTTCCACATGCTAGCCAAACACTCTACCACTACGCTACATCCTCAGTCTTATCAGTTGAGGTTTAATTTTACCCAAGAGTTTTATGTTTTCTTAAAACCTGTTTATGCCAGTTATTTTAATTACGTAAGTTATGTAAATACAAAGTGCTGGGTGTGGTGGCACAGGCCTGTGATCCCAGCACTTGGGAGGTTGAGGCAGAATTGCTGCAAATTCGATGCCAGCCTGGTCTACAAAGTAAGTTCAAGGCCAGCCTGGATTGCGTAGTGAAACCCTGTCTCAAAAGCCAAAAGAAGATTAATATAGGACCAGGGATATAGCTCAGTGGCACAAGCACCTGCCTGCCAAGTGCAAAGTCCTGAGTTTGATCCCTGGTACCAAAAAAAAAAAAAAAAAAGAGTAAATATAAAGAAAATTGACAAAATATATATCAGAACAAGAACCATAAGTTCTGAAGTTGTAGGAAAACTAAATTGAATGTTCTAGGTATACTAAACATGACAAGTATTTAAACAACTGTTAAACTGAAGTGAAAATTTTTTTAAAATCATAGAAAAAGAGATATTTTCTAATTACTGTGTTATTGTGCCAGATTTTAAAAGTGAAACAAAAATCATGAAAATTTATTTATGAGCATATTTTATACGAGTCAACACGGAATTCGATTAGAGATTCCTATTTAGAAAGGGGGTAGGAGGCTTGACTTTAATTATATTTAAGGTATTTGTAGCTTCACACTTTGACTTTTTTTTGAGATAGAGTTTTGGTATGTTGCTTAGGCTGGGCTCAAATTCATGGAAATCCTGCTGTCTCAGCCTCCTGAGTGCTGGGATTACAAGCGTGTGCCACATGCCCAGGTCTAGACTTTGACTCTTATAATGAACTACCTTGCATTCCTAATTGTACCTGAAAAGAGAGTACAATATTACAAGTTAGATGGAATTAAGACTTCCATTTCAGTGTTGAAAAGCCAGAAAACTACCAACTGTGTACAGTTCTTAAAGTACATTTTGCAATTTTACTGTAAGGTGCATAATCAATGAGAGGGTATGTTCCAAAAATATCTTAAACAAATATATAGTATATATAATTTAACTACCATATACTAGTTAAAAATGTCATAACATCGTTTTGGCAGTGACATTTCTTCAGCTGATTTAGTTCTAATACCTTCTGACTTCACACTGGCCACTGATTATCAACTTCATGTTAAATTTTTTTCAGTATACGCTAAGAAAATTTACTTCAGAAATATTAGAGGAACTTCAAAACTAAAAACAAAACCGACACAGATGTGGAAGCTACTTCTCTCTTGTCATTCTTTAAACTATCCTGAATGCAGGGATCACTAGTTTCTGGTGGGCACAGGCCAACTTCGAAGAACTTTGCCCCCAGGGTACTTCAAAGGAAAATGTTACGGAGTCCCTGCATCACACACAAGCTCAGCTAGTCTGAGATTTACTGGCTCACTACCGTGCACAGTACTGATCACCACACAGCAACAGCACAACAGCCACGTAAGAAAACGGGCTGAATCTGAGCTGTTACTGGATACATCGTGGAAATTTATTCAAATTTTCTACTTCAAATTCTTTTAACTTATAACTTGTTCCCTTTTCCTGAAAGTGGACCACAAGTATTAACTCTTAGAATTCTTTACAGGGGAAAGTCTACATTCCGTGACGTTCTAGAAGATTAAATTTTAGAAGAAATTTTTAAAAGGACTGAACAACTTATTTCTTCAACACTCTGGTAGTCACCTGTTAGGTTAAATACGTAATATCACCCTATCAAAAATTCAGTCACTGGCATTAGTTTATTGACACAAGCATTTTCAGTACATTGTTACACATTATTCTCTTAAGGATTTTTCTCATGCACTGTTTGAAGAAAACTTTAAGATTATAAAGTTGTTATCTTAGAGTCTTCAGATAATTTACTAGGAATTTCAAAAAAGGGCGAGTCCTACAAGCAGTTTTCTTGGGAACTAATCCTCATCAATTAACTCATGAACAGAATACTATCTATAGAATCAACTCTGTACTCCACTGAAACTTTTATACCGCAGCAATTCCACAGCTTCCTGTCCACCATCCTCGGACATGCAGACACAGACACACAACACATGAACACTGTATAATCTCCTGAGCCGGGCCTTAACTTTATATAGTCTCATGGCTGAAGAAGTTTTACCACTCAGCCTCCCAGTAATGTGGATCTGTACCAAAGATTCTATTTTCCCTTTAAAAACGCTGTATCAAACCTATCACTTGGTAAGGAAAATTTATAGATAATTTCATTAAGTATAATGATAGTTATCAATAAATTCTTGCTAAAGAGAAACAATTAAAAAAAAAAAAAAGAAACCAGAAAATGAAGTTATTCTTTCCTTGCTAAAAACCAAAAGCTTCCATACTAAAACTCCAGAAGTGTGAACTACACAGGCTACAGATCTCATTCACAAAAAATTTAAAGGACATGTTCATCTGACTCTCATACAACTCTATTTCATATTTTTTTCAAAAGCAAACTGATTTACCGAGCTCATACTATTTAGCAAAGTTAGCATTTTTCCCCCTTACAAGTGGGTACCTTTTAGCAGCAGATGAGAGAGTTTCTTTTCTTGCAATTGAGACCGAACTGGTGTGAGTTGGTTTTCTGTTGGCACCACTTCCATTGGTTATACAGGACATAGAAATAGCTTCTCGAAGACTTGGTTGTCCTAAAGATAGTTAAGGAAAAAGTTTTTTTCTCAAACTTCAAAGTATTCCCAAGATCAGGATTTTAAAAATTAAATCCGTTAGTATGTAGAATTGGTGAGCAGGATGCCCCCAAAATTCATCTTTAAAAACTCCACAAAAAACAAAATCAACCACACCTATTACAACAGCTATTATAAACAAGAACAGGCGGGGAATTGGCAAAGATGTGGAGAAACTGGAACTCTGTACTCTACTAGGGAGAATGTAAAATGGTACAGCTGCTATAGAAAACATTAAAATGTCTTCTCAAAAATTTAAATAGAGAACTGGCACGCGATCTAGCAGTTATGCTTCTAGATATATTTCTAGAGGATTTGAAATCAGAGTCTTAAACAGATATTTATATACCAATGTTCATAATAGCATTATTCACAATGGCTAAAAGTTATGAATAACCCAAATATCCACTGATGGACGAATGTATAACCAAGTATTTTATGTACTTACAATGGGATATTATTCAGCTTTATACAATATGGATGAACCTGAATGACATATGCCAAGTAAAATAAATAGTCTCGAAAGAACAAATATTGCATGCTTCCATTTAAATGAGTAGCCAAAGTAATAAAAATCGAAAATAAAACAGTGGTTGCTGGGGTGGGAAAGGAAAGAAAGGGAATTTTTTATTATTTAACTTCTCTTTGTTTTCTGAGACAGCGTCTTGCTAAGCGGCCCAGGCTAACCTAAAACTTGTAATCCTCCTTCCTCAGCCTCCTATGCAGTTGGGATCATACACCTGTGCTGTTGTGCCTATTTTGCATTATTAGTGGGTACAGAGTTTCCATCCTAGAGATGGACTATAGTGATAGTTGTGTAACACTGTCAATGTATTTAATGCCACTGAAGTGCACGTGCAAAAAAAAAAAAAATGCTTTCAAGGTATCTTGTGCAATTATCATTCTCTGACATACGATTAAATGGGAACACATACCTGACAGTTTTCACTGGTCTTAGCAAGCTCTCTAGTCACATCCCAGATTATTATTCTAAAAAGATAGTACAGTTCAAGGCATATGCATATATAATGGCTTCCTTTTTATTAGTCAACAAAAAATTTTCAACTATTGAGCCAATTCTGAAGCTTATATAGTTTATTCTATAGAATAACAATTTTTATAACGAATAGAAATGGTTGTGCAATTATTTGAATGATCATTATTATGTAAAATGATTGAAAAATTAGAAACAAATTTTTAAAAAAGAAACGTGAGAGTGTTGATGGAGTGCAAAGAGAAATGTCAAAAACAGTGTGTGCAGGGGTCTAGACGTATATGCAGTTCCACAGAAGAGTGGCTGCCTGGCATATGCAAGGCCTGGGTGTGATCCTTTGTACTGCAAAAATAAAGGAAGAAAAAATACGATTGAAAATTTCAAGTATGTTGACGACAAATCTTTAGTCTATGTTAAACTCATAGTCTCATGTGAAAGAATGAAATTAAAATCTGGAGAAAGTTTAAAACCACACAAAAGACTGAAATACAAATATTGTTTTGATATGTATTTTTTAATTTAATCTTTGTGCTAGTTTATGTGCTATTTAAGAAATCCAGCTGGGTGTGGTGGAGCACGCCTGTAATCCCAGCACTCAGGAAGCTGAGGGACGAGGACCACTGTGAGTTCAAGGCCAGCCTGAACTATATTGTGAGACCCTGTCTTAGAAAAAAGAAACTGGCGGAGAGGTGGGAGATGAAGCTCAGTGGGAGAACACTTGTCTAGCACATGCCAAGGCCCTGGGTTCAAACCCTAGTACTGCACTACCTACCCACTCCCTCAACTACCCAACTCAAGGTCACTAAGATTTCTCTTAAATTTTCTTCCGAAGTTTTATAGTTTTCCACCTTAGGTTGAGATCGGCAGTCCGTTTTGACTTATATGGTACACAGCAGGAGTCAAGGTGAGTGACTTTATTTTGTTACACGACAATAGTAACTCTCAAGTAAGACTCTTCTCCTTGCTATTCCTTCTTACACCCAAGCTTTTGCACTTGCTCTTCTACTAGGAATGTTCTCCACTATTCATTCTCATTAAAGGTTTGGCTCAAAGAAGGCTTAGGTTATTCTCACTACCTCTTTTATTTCCTTTACAATCTGCTTTACAATCACCTGCAATTCTACCTGGATACCAGGCTTATTTGTGATTACTATCTGTACCCTTCCCTTGGTTAGCACTGGAGCTACCACATAGAAAGCACTTAGTATCAGAATGACTAACTGAATTCTTCCCCACAACTGTCTCAAATTTCTCTTCTGGATTACGTTCAGTTTATAACTATTCCTTTTATAACATGGAATAGTTATAAAATGCCTTGTTCTAAGGCATCTTCTACACTGTGCCAGAATTATTATTGTAAAACATGCTATCTGCCTTCAAGATTAAAATGAGATCAACTGTAACACACCATTATTTGAAGTACACTAGAAAGGACCAAGTGTTTATGAGAACTATGACACTATCAATTATAAGATAAATCACCAGACGTTAACATGCAAAAAATATAGGCATCTTAAATCTGCCTGTCACTCCTCAACTTGAAGTTCTTTAATGGCTCTCCACTTCCCTCAGGATAAAGCCAAGAATTCTGAGCACGGCATAAAAATCTTTTGTTATGGGCCCTGTCAGTCCAGGCTGATTAGCTGATACTCCAACCTCACTTTCTTTGCTTGTTTATTCTATGTAACACTTTTTTTGCCGGGGGGTGGGTGCTGGGAATTAAACTCAGAACCTTGCACTTGCCAGGCAGGCACTTGTGCCATTGAACTATATCCCTGGCCCCTGCTTGTTTATTCTAAACCTCTAAGTCAAGTACTACTTCTTGTTCTGTACTTTCACACTTGGACAGTCCTTTGCGCCAGCATATGCTAATCACCTCTTTTTGCTTAAACTAATATACTGTATATTTGTTACCCCCCCACTCATTAAGTATATACTCAGGACATTAGTTGTAATCCTCAACTTGCATTTACAAAAGTGTGTGTACAAGGCAGCCACTGACACCAAGGATTCACAATCTTGGGGGGATACACACAGTGACAGTGAAAACACAGTCAATATAGTAACAGACTGATGGCAATGGAAAACCAAGTACAAAGAAAGGACACATAATTCTGTAAGGATAATTAGGGACACAGAGGCTTTCCAGAATAATTACAGGACAAAGTCTTAAAGGATAAGAAACAGTTGAAAGGTAGCCGCTAAGATATACTGGGACCATACTCTAGTATGTACAAAGGAAAAGAATGTAACAGCATGTAACAGCAAAGGGGGTGTGTTTACATACGTGAGACAAAGAGCTCATTGATGTGGCCAGAATGCAGAACAAGAGAACAGGGTTTTGACAGGGAAAGTAGCAGGACTTAGGTGATAGCAAATACAATGGGATTTTAAACTGCAAAGAGCTCTTATTCTTGTTTTAAAGAAAACATTTTAGTGGTTATGCAAACAGATTTTAGGACAGTGGTCTAAGATGATGAGGACCTGAAACAACAGCTAGGTATTCTGAAAACAAAGGAAGAAATAGTTTTAAGAAATATGTAGCACTTTCCAAGATCATGAATTCAGTTTTGGGACATGCTACATTTATGAATTCTGAAGGACATACAAGTAAAACAATCTAGAAAATAGATAATTCTAAAGATGGGTTAGAATACAGATAATTTGGGAATCGGTACCAACATATGGCTCTTAAGACCAGGAAGCTAAACAAGTGATGACATCTCCTTCAGGAAAGAAACTGCAATTCCAGTTTGAGTTAAGCATTTATGTATGTGCTCCTGTGACACCCTAAATGGACCTTTACTAATACCACTAATTAAATGACAACTGACTTGCTTTTCTTCCTACTTGACCTAGGCGCTTTGGGAACAAAACTCTTATTCCTTTATGTCCAGCATCTAAAGCAGTGAGCAGTATACTGAAAGATGAAGGAAAAAGACAGCTGTTCATCTGTAAGTGCTACAGAGTAGTATTAATTATCAAGCACTTACTATGTATTAGGTATTATCCTAAGTATTTATACTTGTTCATTTTATAATTGTTTTCTCCTTCCACCTTTCATCACACTCCTAAAAGGGCTTTACTATTATCATCCTAAATTTTACTGATGAAGAAACCAAAATCCTGCAAGGTTAGTTAACATGCTCAAGGTTACACCGTAGTAGGCAATGAAACAAAAATTTGACTGTAAGAACAATGGCAGATAAAAGGAATAAACCTGCCTACAAAAGAGTGATATTTTGAGGCTGTGCGTGGTGGTCGCACGCCTGTGATCCCAGCACTTGGGAGCCTGAGGCAGGAGGACTGTTTAAGTTCAAGACCACCTGGGCTACCAAGTGAGCTCAAGGCCTGCCTGAAATGCATAGTGAGACCCTTCTCAAAAAGACAAAAAAAAAAGACTGAAAGAACATTTTCACAGTCACTTTCAATCCCACAGTTTAATCTGAGGTAACTGTTACTACTAAGAATATTTAGTACTTGAATGAAAGCGTGAGTGATCTTCCAGGGCAGAAGAAATGGATTAGGTAAAGCAGAGGCAGAAAATTAAACAGAAGTGTGGTGAAGGTTTTCGGACTGAGAAGTCTTCAAAGTACATTCTTTGAAACTTAGAATATTAGAAACTTCACCAGGAAGAAACAAAAATGATTATTGCAGTTACACAAATTTATAACTGGAATGTTATCATTAGGTGCTTGCATATGCATGTAAGTGTGTGGGGTTGGGGTGGGGGTGGGGTATTCAAGTGGACAGATGGAACATAAACACCTCCCCAGGGACTGGGCATTATAGTCAGAGCCATAAGTCTCTCAAAGAACAGACTACGACTTGGAAGCAACAGTCACTACCAGGGACCGAGTTCTATTTCTGAGCAACAATCAGACTTAAGTAAGAGACCTTTAGGCTAAAAGTCTGTAAACCACAAGGTACTAATTTAGTTTTAAACACAGTGGAAAGTATCATAGTA